AGCTTACCTGTCTTTGATCACTCTAGAAGTTATAAATTATTAGCAGTATTTTCACCTTATTTTCTCTTGGACTTCACACAATTCTATACCCTTTGTTAATTTAACTACATTTTAAAGCGAGGTTTATTTGCAAATCTTCTTTATGTTACACTTTAGTTTTTTTCCCCCAAAAGACCAGAATGATAAATGCCAGGTTCCAATGAAATGACAACCTACATTATCTGCAGTTCAACACCACTGTTTGTCCTAATGGTAGCATCACAGTGTCATTATTTCAGAAGCAGGAAACTAGAACAATTCTAAAATTCTACAATGTGTAGTCTAAAAATTTAATACAGTGTCAAATTGACCCAGAAAACATCATGTGATTTTCTGATAGGTCTATTAATCAGCAGAGTCTGTGTACTTTACCTAATTATGTGATATGTGTTGGGAACCGCCCTGACTGGTATCAGAAGCTGAAACCCCCGCCTAGGCTAAGGCTAAGGGAACACCCTTGGAACTGTAAGCCAGCAAGGAGACAAAAGCTTATCTTCCTGGCAGGAATGCTGCTTCTGCTGCTTTATTCATGACTGAACCCCCAAAAAGCTTGGTCGGTTAGCCAAAGACGGGTAAGATTGCCCACGGGGGGAACCACCTAAGACAGGCACGATCACTTTGGGAGGCCCCCCAAAAGAAGGACTTGGGGTGGGGGCTGCAGCAAAAGGGGGTGATGGACCTTCGCTCCTCGGCTTTGACATAGCCTGAGTTCTCAGCGTCTGGGAAAAAACCTCCTTGTCTCCCAGTTGCGTTAGTTCCTTTGCTCCACCTAAGCCTGAAACAATGACAGGGTGGTGCAGCTCGGTACTGAGAAGTGTGGATTCCCCAGGATGATCAGGCCTAAGAAAGAATATGTAAATTACTGTGAAACCTTCTTTGTTTAGAATGCTCTCAGTTGAATGAGAAGGGTGTTAGGAGGAAGTTATTTCGTTCCTCAGTCTTACAGCTCTTTGACCCCGACTCAATAGACCGGCAGAGTTCTTTGTTTTCTATGGTTCCTTACTTCCCCCTAATGAGTACTGTACTTTACCTGAATTATTATGCAGAATGAGCCCAATAAAAGCAGGTATGGACGGTAAATCTGCGTGCTCCCCACTAGGAGGGGTGGCCATTCCGTCCCTACTTCCCCACAGAAACTAGTCTGTCTCTGTGCATGTGTCGTTTTTTCTCACGTGTTTATCGTCGAGCCATCCACAGAGTTCCGTGGTCACTGCTGGCCGGTGACCCACGCGCAACAGATATGACTTTTTATTGTTCATACATCATTCCCTAACTTAGAAATCATCAGTATGTACTAAAGTTCATTACAATGTGATCTTTTGCTACCAATTTGAGTGCACAGTGTAGAAAGATGTGCTACTCACAGAGATTCAGGAGAAAGAAACTGAACCAGGACAATTACAAACTTGAGTTTGCAGTTTTGCATATATTCCAAGGAAAAAAAAATTCAGCCAAGGCAGTGATACCTGACTTGATTACACCACAACCAGTACAATCACATGTGGGACTACTCAGGCTTTTCTTCATAGAGGATCCAAAAGGAGCTATAATTAGATCCTGAAGATAAAAAGTCTTGCATAGTTTCAGTGACCATGTGTAGCTGCTGCTCTTGGTTATGCTAAAAGCAACTCAGCTACTGATCTGTCCAAAAAAAAGTTGTATAGCACAGTGCCTTATTCCTTTATTTATTAAGTAATTAGATGTAGGTATAACTCAAACACAATGTTTTTATGTTAATGAAACCAGTTAATAGCAGACTCATTTTTCTAGATTATTAAATGGAGGGGAGGTATGAAGATAATATCAAATTAGAAGAGTGAGACATTTCTCTTTTTGTATGCCCTGTATTTTTGAGCAGATATTTTATATTTAGCTTAAGCATGGCCTAAAATATGTTTTATTTACTTTTATAACTGCTATAACTAGTAGGAAATAGAAGAGGACCCCAGTCGATTTTTGTTTTCCTTTTGCCTTACATCAGTAGGGATACAACAACCTCCCATCTCACAAGTGGGACAATCCTTGTTTAAATGGACTAGATAAAGCCTTTCCTATTCCAACTTAATTGATGAATACTATATTTTTAAAAATATATGTGCTGCTTTTCATTAAGAATGGATATTGTCATAGGCAGTATTAACATTTTATATTGTGTAGAAACATCACTTTCAGAGGAGTATGGAGGTTAGCTCTGCGTGCACTACTCTATATGTGACAAAGTATTCAAATGCATATTATGAAAAAAAAAACCTTCCTTTAGTGATTTGAGGAAAGTGTTTCTGCTCTGGCACTTCAGGAATAGAAAATGTATACCATGTGTTATGATAATTTAATGGATGATGTGCAGGGCTTGCAGTTCAGAATTTAAATTTTGAAAACAATGTTGGCTGATTACAAAACCTGCACTACCATTTACAACATTTTAATCACAAGATTCCAGAAAAATATTATGATATTCTGTATTGATTGCTTTCCACATTTTACAAATTTATATATATTTTGAAGACATAGCTAAGTTTCAGTGACTGCTAACAAATCATTGGTTGGGACAAAAAAGAAAAACAACCTATTGGCCCAATATATTCCATACATTAATGGGAGAAAGTAATATATGGGCCAAACAAACCCAAGAAAACCCCACACTGCTATAATTTAATACTTAATCTTGATTACATAATTAACTATAATAAGAGAAGAAGGTCAATAGCTATAACTTCTTTTAGGTTTGGATTTAACTCATATTTCCAGGTCAGTAGTTACTTAAAAATATGTTAAATAAAAACAGGTACTGTAGTTTTGGCATATGTCACTAATTGTACTTAAAAAGATAGTTTTTCATGGGGTAGGTCTGAGGCAGAGAGAGAGAGATTTAAACCTCAAAGGTTGTGATTAGGCATCTGGCTCAATATCCATGTTCAACCAGCTTGAATTATTCAACTTATTTGACTTGCTTTATTGCATAAGTTATCTACTTATTGAATGATTTGTAGTTGCTAAGAAGCTCTACTTTGAGGTTTAGATTGGTTACCAGATATCAACAGGGGGTCAATGTCTGAAATTATAAGGTAATTATTGGGTCAAAGCAACAGGCTCTGCAAGAAAGAAGAGCTGAAGGGATAAAACTGCATGTCTTCTGAGACTATTTATAACACCAAGGGCTAACCCTAAATAAATATTAGGAAGAAAGTAATTATTTAAATCTACAAAAATAATGAAAATCTGGGTTTATTTATATCAAGCTAACTGGATACATAAAAAGTTAAGAATATATTATTTTGGTATTCAATAAATCTATTATTTGCTTACCTGACTTATATTTATTAAATACATGGATTATGCAATTAATAATGTTTTTAAACATCCATCCTTTGACAAAGGCTTTACCGACAATTTTGACTATGACCTTTCTTGATTATTGGTCTTATGTTTTTTAACTTTCAGAAAAATTAGATTTATTATCTTCATGTCAAACAAACACAGAACAAAAGCCTTTTTAAGTAAATTTGGAACATGACTATTCTGTTTTTACTCATTTGATTATCCCTTTAAAAAATAAAGCCTCTTATATGTCATTCTGACTAAAATATAGTATGATTTTTAATAGGAAGTTATTAACAATAGTATTCTAAATTATCATCATATACTTTGAAAAAGGCAACAAAGAAATATGACTGAATAGTTAACCTCTGTGTAGCAATAAAAATTAAAGTCATAGTTAAAAAAATTACAGTACTCTTCATTAAGCCATACAATAAACAAATTTTCACCAAAGATGACTCCCTCTACTCTTCCCACTTAATGGAAAAATATGGTTCATGCATGCCCCTGTCATTGTGGTTATAGAGGAGATAAAGTCATCTCTAGTTCCAGGGCAAAATATCCAACCAGTCCAAACCATGGTATTTGGGAAGTAAACTTGGTTCATGGGTGAGTAAGTGACCTCAGCCAGCAAATCAGACTGAAGAAAAGAACTCTTCCAGGCTGCTAGGCAGAAAGGATTTCTTCTTTTCCTTCTACAGAATAACAGACCCCTGGCATATTTCAACTCTTAGTGGAATCAGCTGAAAGCTAATGCTAAAGCACCCTGTTCCAGAAAGCATCTTTATTTTCCCTTCTGATTCTCCTCGAGATGGGGTTCCCTCGGGGAGGCAGAGAGCTTGCTGATGTGGGAGGCAAATCACCCCACCGCTTCAGTGTACTGGCTTACGGGGTGTCCGGGGAAACATCAAGTGTGAGACAGGTGGACAGGGGTTGGCAATGTTGGAGGCATTCAATAGAGGACCCCTGAGGTACCAAAATATAATATGAAACTGTAAAGTTCTATTTATGACCTGATTATGATATTTAATTTAAAAAAATCTCATATCCATTCATGGTGATCTTCTCCAAACACTGTCCCATTACTATTGTCCAAACGCTATTCCATTGTGTATTCCTACTCACTTTGACAAATATAACGTGGAACCAAATGTACCACTGCTTCATTTTTATTCTGAGGAACATTTGATTTTGCAGTTATCTACTGTTTATTGAGATATGATATTTCCACACACCAAAATCTTTTAACATCTATATAGCTGAACATTTAATCTTAATTTTATAGTATAGAAAATAAACTTTTCAATATTGTCTTCAGCATTGAATATTGCAAAACTAAAGACAAACATCTTTGGGAAAAATAATAAAATGGTCCTTCAGCATTAAAATTTCTTATTAAAAAGCATTAGGTCAACGTTAATCATATTGATATGTCCTTAATACATAGATGAGTTAGGCATGAATAAAATAAATCTAACCCCATCTGTTGTAGTAAATCAGATGATTTGAAACTGCAGGTCACTGTTACAAGTCAATTGAAAAAAGCCAATATATTCAGCTTTTTCATTATTGTATGGTTTTTTGATGACACAACTTTTTAAGCAGTGTTTACCCAGGATATGAACAATGTACTGCATACTTACCAGGTGATTTTTATGCCACTTTGCTGAATGCAGGGTTAATACATTTGGGCTTTTTATTGCTTGAGTAGAAAGTGCTCATTACTTATTATTTTATGTGTATAATATAAAAACTAAAATAAAACAAAAAATGTTTTTAAATGGCATACATCACACTGTTGTAGTAGTTGACTTCCTCAAGATCGTCTTCTGTGGTTTCGGTGCAGGGGGAGGAGGCACAGTTGCAGGTCTGAGCGGGGGGAAGCTGTTACTGTGGCTTATTCCCAGTCCCCCATTTTCAAGTGGAAATGGAGGGTGATGGGGTGGAGGAGGGCGGGGAGGGCCTGGGTGAGGAAGCTTTCCTGGTGGCTGGACAGGTTCACTGTGTAAATGGACCTCCCGGTTTTTCATGTTATACCGGGTGTCACAGTCAGGACAATAGCCATGGTACTGCACTTTTTCATTAAACCGAACCCGCTCCCGAGGCCCTGCCTGGGGACACCTGTCTTTTTCAGGTCTATGCATCAGAGGCTGCAGGGACACCTTGTCCGAGTTCTTACTGGGTATGCAGCCGATGTCTCCATTGGGAATTTTGTTTGGTGCTCCTGGAAAGCCTCCGTTCCGCAGAAGGGTGCCATTGGTCTTTACTGGATTGGCAGCTGGCACCACCCTCTGGGGGTCTTCACACTTCACAGGCGTCAACCGTGGCGGAGGCGGTGGGGGGTTTGGCTTTCTCAGGACCGTGAGGATAGCAGATGGGTGTGCTGGGGGTTTAATGAGAGGCGCATTGGCCTGCACTTTGAGCTTCTCTATGCTGGAGGCTGTTGTGCCACTTGAGCTACTGTTCAGCGTGTCCGTTTTGGAGCTGTCGGTCATCTCATCCTCCAGCTGCAGGTCAGAGGTCAGGGTATCAATCTGATCAACCACCTGGTGGAAAGGACAAGGCAGCTGTGTTGAAAAATGACCCAAAGCAAAATATACTACAAATAATGTCTTCCTGTCCAGCTTGAATCTGCTATGGGAGTCTTGACAAATATTGAATCGTGTATTCCATTACAGCATAATGTTTTCATTCAATGAATTTACAGAATAGCTACCATAAGAGTACGGTTGATAACATAATGATTTCACATGCCCAGAATATAATACACTATTTATGCACACATTTTATTCCTAACTCTGCTATATCCATCAAAGATAAAATTCTGATGCAGAAATATAAATGATTTTTAAAAGGGGGGGTTTTGCTTACCATGTAGAAAGCTACAGAAGAACATCAATCTCATGCTAAAAATGGGAAAGTACCAGACAATTTTTAAAATCATAACTTTTCTGGACAATCAGAGAACTAAGATCACAAAATAAATGAATGGAAATACACAGAGTTTCAAGCCCTATTAGGATAGATAGGACACAACTGTTTTACTTTTGGCAAATCACAGGAAAAGAGGCAGCCTCCACCAAAGTTAGTAACAAGACCAAAATAGCCCTGGCCCTGTCGCTCAGTTGGCTGGAGCATCATCCCCTACATCACAAGGTTGTGGGTTTCAGCCCAGGGTGAGGCACATAGAGGAGGCAACCGGTGGGTGTTTTCTCTCTCACATTAATGTCTCTCTCTCTGTTTCCCCTTCCTCTCTATCTAAAATCAGCAAATATATAGGATCCAGCAGAAGTAAGGCCTACTTCAGTGTGGTTGGTAGGGCAATCATATGGGTAAAATAATTTAGTTTTAATTTGAACATTTCACTTAAAATGTCATATTTTGTGCTTGAGTCTGATATTGTTATGTGACCAAATTACATGCTTTGTAATAAAAGATTTTGTAATAAAACAGAGTGTTATTTGTGCCAGACCCTGTATATCCTTTGGTGAGGATTAAAAAAAAAAAACTAAAACTTTAATGAGTAATTAAAGGCAGAGTGTGTGCTGTTACGCCAATTTAGAATTCCTAGGAGCCCAGATAATGTAATCTGTCCCCATTCATTGTCTCTTTTCCATGTTCCTCTCACCTGGGAGACTGAAGGCAGGGAAAAAGTGGAAAGAGTCTGTCTTGGGCACATAGTCACACAGACAAACCCATTTCCAGACCCCTCTCTTTGATAAAACAGAAGCTTTAAGAACTAGGGCAGTGGCCAAAAACATAAATGCCCTCTAACCTCTCAGACACAGGCAAGGGTCTCCTGCCTCTGAGACAGGGTAGAAGGAAAAGCTGGCTGACCTTGGGGAAGGGGGCAGAACATTCTCTTAGACCCAGGAACCTACACCACAGGTGCCTGACATCACCTGGAGAGGGACGTGAGTCACGACCACCACTCAAAACCTGCCACAGACACAGGCAGAGGCAGGCACTTGAATAAAGTCAGCAGAGCCATAAGACTGAGATGTAGGTCTTACCCCAAGTGAAGGAGAGTAATTCTGAAGACAGAAAAATTTGGTGGAAGCATGTTAGACAAGGCAGTTATAGGGAAAGATTTTCCAGGGGCATTAAGGAGTCATGGAGTTAAAGTCGCCCATCAAATGTATCTGGTGTCTCCCACAGCAGGCTTGCCTAAGGGTCTCCATCCTGTTCAGGCACCATCTGAGGGCAGCTGTGGGATGGTGACCTCAACTCAAATGCTGCATTTCACAGGATGACAGTTGGGCCCTCAGTCATTTACACTCTTCATAGTCAGAGATCTTGGACCTGATTCTTGTGGCTGCCACATGAGCACTATTACGCATATGTGAAAATGGAAAAGTTATGAATTACATGAAAAATAATTAATTTTTGTATGGAGATAGTCCCTTTAACTCATATGCTCCATTTAAAGTTTTTGTCCTCCTCTCTACTCAGGCCCATGTGTTCAGTTGTGAAGTTGCTTCTTTGACACATGGTGGCAGGATTGGGCTCAAAATGTGAACATCACAACCAACTAGAAATTAGGGAGGCTATGGAGATTTTACTTCTTCCTCCTGACTGGTTCACACTAACACCACCAGAGCTCAGCCTTCTATTTTAGCTCTTTAATATATGTTAAATCCATTCACTTGTGTTTTCCTTTCTTTGATCCCAGTCCGAGCCACCATTATTTACCATGAGGGTCACCCAGAGTCACCCTTCTCCACTTTCCTTGCCATAGTCTCAATGATTTTTTAAAAAATACAAATGCGCTCTTCTCAATATCACGCTTAGAACCTTTCAATGTCTGTTCGTTTCTCCTGTGATAAAGGTCGATTCTTAACATAGTCTCTAGGGTCCTGTATAGTCTTCCTCAGTGCTGTGCCAGTAAGCGTTTAACAACGGCTTTGTAGGGATGCAAGGATAATCCTAACTTCAAAAGTCTGCCAGTTTTCACAGTGTAAACTTCCACTCTGGTCAATTTCAAGTTTAGTAAATGCAATATCACTGAATGAGAGGTCGGAAAGAAGTGTTCAGTAACACATCATTATAGAGTGTTTCCACCATACTGACAGAATAGATGTAAATGAGATCAGGAGTACAAATAATAGTAAAATAATTATAAATTACTAAGAATAATTAGAAAACCTTTACTGTTAATGTAATTCATTTAACATAAATTTATATACATATTTTTATATACATGTTTTCAGTAATAGTCATCTAACTACTGGCTTACAAAATCTCTAAAAATATAATAATTAGACCTTTATAGCCCATATAAGCCAGCACATCACTGTCTTTCACTCCTAAATAACTCTATATCCTAAACTCAGATAAGTTTCCCATTTCCCTTCTGTTCTCAAACCTGTCTGGTCTTATTTTAGACATTCATAATTGCTCATCAGCCTCCTGCCACAGGACATTTGCATATACTAATTTTTTCTCCTTGAAATGCTCTGACCTCTCTTCTTTGTTTTAGTAACTGCTATTATTCTTTAAAATCTTAGCTCAGTCATCACTCATAAAGTAAAACTTCCCCATCACACTGTAATTTCCCTTATAGGTCAAGTCACTTTATTAAATGTTCACAAGGGACCATATTCCTTTCTTTCTAAGCATTCACGTATTTTTTGATTATAGGTTTAGTAGTAGTGTGAGCATCAGAATAATTTTTCCTCTCTAGACTGTAATTGCAGTAAGGTCACACGCCTTGTTTGTTTTTACTCCTGTATCCTAAAGGCCTAACATAATGAACAACACTCAATAGGAGTTCAACAAATACTCGTTAAGTAAATGTACTGAGGGTTATTTCTTTAATTCAAGTTGACAGCAAACACAGTCTTTCTTATTTCATTAGTTTAATCCTCACCCAAGGATATGTTTATTGATTTTAGAGAGAAAGAGAGTGGGGGAGAGAGATATGTATGTGTGTGTGTGTGTGTGTGTGTGTGTGTGTGTATGTGTGTGTGTGTGAGACAGAGAAAGAGAGAGAGACAAAGAAAGGAGATGGATGGCACATGCACTGACTGAGGATCAAACCCACAACCTTTTGGTGTGTGGAACGGTGCTCCAACCAACTGAGACACCCAGCCAGGGCTCCTATTTGGTTTTTGAAGGTGTTGTTACTTTAAAAGTCATATTTGCTCAGTTATATTCCAGAATTTAAAAAAGGGAATAAGAGGAGTGAGCCATAAATGATTTACAGAGTTGGTGGCATATTCTCTAGCTCTAGATGGCAGAGAAATTAAAGTGGAGGCCACATAAAGCATGTGAGAGATAGGGGCACAGTCTTGGCTCAGAGGTGCTGTGTACTATTGAATTTAGAGAGGTTATTTACCCCAAGACTTTTATTGTATTAAATGCCTGGAGCAAAGGGGAGAAAGCTGGTCTACCGTGAAAAAACTGAAGCTGACGTTCAGAGATGAATAAGTACTGCCCAGGTCCCTGATGGTTTGATAGTTCCTGGGTGGTTTTAGTCTCAACATTGTTATCAATATTTCCCGAGTGCATACAAAATGCCAACAGCATAAAAAACAAAAACAAACAAACTACTACTCTCAAGGAGCAGGAAATCTAGTCAGAGAGCCTGACATACATTAATTGGATACTCGATCAAATAACTGTAAACTTGCCACTGACCCAAGTGCTCTGAGTGAAAAATGTAAGACATTGCAAGGGGAGCACACATGGCCCCATCAGTAAAGCTGCTGAAGCACTCCTAAGGGATGAGCTGCAGTTAACTGGTAGAAGAGAAGTGGTGTTAGCAGTCTACTCACGAAAGAGCCTGTAGGAGGTCCTTTAAAAGAAGACTTTTTTTTCTAATCTTTGTTATATTTTTTCTTTTACCACTTAGTCCCCTTATACTTCCCTCCTGCCAGCAATCACTGAAGACTCTTGGCTGAAGAGCATGGAGAAAGGTGAGGTTAGAGAGTAGGGAGTTAGGTAGCAACTAGGCTGTGAGAGTCCTTGTTAGGTTGTGATAAAGCACCACACATCTTTAAAAACAGTTCCGAAAGTGAGAGAAGCAATATTGAAAGAGACTATGGATTGGTATTTTTCAAAATTAAAGCATCACCTAATTAAAGAAATAACAGAATATCAAAAAGGAAAATACAAACAAACCCACACCCAGACATACCATAATAAAAATATAAAACACTGAAATAATGATGAAAGTTTTATAGCATTAAAAAGGAAGACTAAGTATTTATACAGTAACAAAAATTAGGCTGATAGATTTTCATACAAGCAACAGACACCTGAAGAAAATTTAGAAATGTGTTTCATACTGAAAAAAAGTAACTGCAATAGTAATATAATTTAACTCCTCTGTAAAAGTGAGAGTGAAACAGACATTGCCAGACAATAAAGACAAAGAGTATAGGTCTTCTAGCTCAGTCTTGAAACTATTGATAAATGACAGTTCAGAAAAACGTAAAAAGCCAGATGAAAGAACTGAAATACAAGAATCATAGGTGGGTAGAGAAAGAAATGGTTATGTAAGTAAATCAAAATATACACTGTATAGAAAACAATAATATACTAG